TGGGTTGGGTTTAGACTGGACTCATCTCTTGTTCTTTCCCTCTTCCTTCCTTCCTTCTCCTCCCCCCTCTCTCGTTTATCTCAATCCTCCTCCTCTTCCTTCTCTCTGATACTTCCTCACCCACCCCTTTCTTCACCCCTTCCCCCACTCCTTCATAACCCTCTCTACCGGTATGGTATTAAGCTTATTTGTGAGTCAAATGGTTTATGGAGAATCATTATGTTAATACCGTGTACAGGTGTGATAGATGGCGCCAGCTTCCACCACCCCCTAACCTAACCTGACCTAACCAAACCTGACCTAACCAAACCTGACCTAACCAAACATGACCTGACCTAACCTGACCTCATAAAACGTAACCTAACCTATACGTCGATTTTAGTGAGTCGCCGTATACAAGAGGACACACACACACACACACACACACACACACACACGGAGGGGAGGGGTAGGTCGCTCCAGTATAACCCGATCAGGCCTGGCGTCGTGTTATAAATCAAGCGGCGTAGCATGATAGGAGACCCCGAGGATTTACGATGAGTAAAGGTTTTGTTCGATAAAGTTCACAGCAGACATATGGTGGTAGTATGTTAGTGGCGCCATGTGTGTTTATACCTACCAACTGTGTGTGTGTGTGTGTGTGTGTTTGTGTGAGGAATTTGAGTGATACTGTCAAATCCTAACCCAGCCCAAATTAACCTAACCCAACCTAACCCATCCTAACCTAACCTAACCTCCACGGTCAAAATCCCATCAACTAACACCACACCAGACAGGCCGCCACCACCACCACCACCCAACCTATCCCAACCTTCCTATAAGCGTAATAGATGAACACGTGACAAAACACCAATGGTAGACTCGTGTAAATTTAGAGCTACAGTAGATCCTCTTTCTGTGTAATACCTGTGAGTGAGGCTGTTGCAGGGTTAAAGGTTAGCTTAGGTCAAGTCGAGTCAGGTCAGGTGAATGGTGCTCTAGACGGGTGTGTTTCAGACTCCAGGTCGTGTATGTATGTATGTATGTATGTACGTTATGTATGTCTAGCGGCCTCCTCCACTTACTCGAACAGCCAGTCACCATTCTCTCTGCCCAGTCAACAGTACAGAGGGGAAGCCTGGTGATTGGTCGGCGTGAAGTGAGAGGCCGCCCACACACGACCTGACCTGACCTGACCATAACCTAACCAAAGTAACATGTGCAGACTGAAATTTCACCAAAAATTGAAAGAAATAATCAGAGACCGACACACACACACACACACACACACACACACACACACACACACATATATATATATATATCAAGTGAGCTGAGCTACCTCCAACATGCGTGTCCGTTATCAGTCATAAATATATCACCATGTTCCTTTGTTCTACAGCTGAACATGTCCACTTCTGAACAGTTATTTTGGTCTTGGTCACACAAACATGACTTTGTTCAACCCTGACTTTTAACAAAATATTTGGATCACTTGAAGATTAGACACCCCAGCTACCAATTTTAAGCTACAATGATAAACCTACATTAACTAATTCGCTAAATGTTGTCTAAATAATCCTAATGCTTCAGAAAATACAAAAATAATCGTATCTAGAATGTACTTATGTAAAAAAAAACATAAAAAACTAAAAAAAAAACCCTAACCTGAATGTTATCTAAAAATTAAAATAATCTTACCTTTAAAGTTGTTATCTAAGTGAGCTTATGTGTAAAGTATTAAGGCAATGTGGGCCACAAGGCGAGGTTTTTTTCGTCTTATTTGTCTTCTAAATTCAGGCCAAAACTGAGCTAATCTGGAAACTTTGAGACTAAATAAGCACTCCAGGCCGAGTCAGTGTTGCCACAAGCCCCACACGGGACACCCCACACCACAACACTGAATTAATATTGCAGGGAATATTTTGCTGCCCTCCCCACCACACACCAACCACCATGGAAAACCTGCCGACCAGGATTTTTTTAATAATAATAATAATAATAATAATAATAATAATAATAATAAGAATAATAATAATAATAATAATCACAAATCATTATTAGCAAGAGTTAAAAGGACAATTTCATCACAATATAGAATTCTTTAAAAGCGTCGTCTGTTTTGAGTCGCCTCCACCGTCTGTCACAGCTAGGATTTGAATCTTCTGTTGTATGTCACTAAACCTTCTGAATAGTTTAGATGTGAATAGCAAGACCAATTAGACCACATTTATGAGCTAGATACTTGTAATTATAAATAGGATAAAATATACAGGTGATAATGGTAATATTTCCAAAAGTTAATGAAAAGTTTGGCACACTCGTTATTTATCTCATTTCTGCCGTTCGCTGGTCATTTTCGCCCCCAGTAGAACATTTATCACTCGCTCACGCACTCGCTATTTAAATAATATCGTCATTAGTCCTGGTATTGTCACACACACGATATAATCAGAATATTTCCTTCGGTTGAGATAGACGTGCGTTGTCTGGCCCCGAGGAACCGCTAACCCCTCCCTGATTCATTACAACATTTGATTGGCCAGTGCTTCTAAGCGTAAGTGCTCGTTATCAAGTCAATTAAATATCACTCCCTCCACATAATAATAAGCTTAAATACTGCGACAACTTATATTTAATGTCCTTATCAGTTTGTTTACATTAATCAGGCAGCTATTACTGAGACTGACTGGTTTTTGAGTGTTAAATGATATGCTGCAGACGACGCTTCCCTCCACCCCGTGACTAACACACACACACACACACACAGCCTGGTCGGGAGGATAAGAAAAACCGTTTATATAGCATCACGTACAGTAAACCACCGTGAAGATGGTCCCAAACCCACGACACCCGACCCACGACACCCGACACCCGACCCACGCCACCCGACCCACGACACCTAGCGAGAACCAGACACACTTAGAGCAGGAGACGAGTTCAGTATTCACTCAGCCACCGCGTGTTGTGATAACCTGAGTAGAATATTGGGAAATAGATAATCCACCTGACAGCCACACGACCCCTTCCCCGTACGACCCCTTCCCCGCACGACCCCTTCCCCGCACGACCCCTTCCCCGTACGACCCCTCCCCCTCACGACCCCTCCACCACCACCACCTCCTTTCATAATTTCCATCCATTACCTTATCCATTTAAATCCCTTTTCCATTATACAGCCGGGTGGTCCATACTGTCTCCTGGGGTAGAGAGAGAGAGAGAGATAAAGAAAGTGAAATAAAGAGAGAGAGAGAGAGACATTCATCTTCCTCACCGCTCCCAAGATGCCAAACGAATTCCCAGCAGCGAGTAGAGTGAACAAGTTTGGAGTGACCACCACCACCATCACCACCCCCAGCGTCGCCGGCAGTAGTGTTCCACCAGGGGAGCGTCGACTCATCCCTCACGTAGCGGGGAACCTCATCTGTCTTATCCTATATCTCGGTGGTGCAGCCTCAAGACTACTCCTCCTCCTCCTCCTCTTTCCCTTCTTCCTCCTCCTCCTCCTCCTCTTTCCCTTCTTCCTCCTCCTCCTCCTCCTCCTCTTTCCCTTCTTCCTCTTCCTCTGATATGTCTCTCACCATCATCATCACCTCCATCATCATCTCCATCACCATCACCGCCTCACCATCACCACCATCACCGCCTCACCATCACCATCATCACCGCCTCACCATACTTTAATATATTCCTCTTGAGAAATACTCGAGATTCTTGGGGAAGTCTACCACCCACCCCCCCTCCCCCCTCGCCTGCTTTTCATTCTCGAGTCAAGGAGGGATTAGGTTAGGTTAGAACAGGTCAGGATAGGTTAGCTTTGGTTATGTGAGGTTAGGTTAGTTTAACGTATATGCTATGTCAGATTTGGTTAGGTTGGTTTAGGTTTGGTTAGATTAATTTAAATTTGGTTTGATTGTGTTAGGTCATAACAGGTCGGGTTAGGTCATAACAGGTCAGGTCAGGTATAATTCCCCCTTCTTTACTCCCTGTAACATCATAAACTATAATATTCTCCGCTATTTAAACTCTTACAGATTTACATTGTATAAAATTGCTGAGGTATTTATTTCCGACCTTTATCTAACACGCCTGAAGCACCTTGACCCGCTTGTTAAGTGCTAACGGTGTGACCAGGTCAATTAGGGAGAACCTCTGATGACGTCACACCCAGGAAGGACGTCACACACAGGGATGGCGTCACACCCAGAGATGACGTCACACCCAGGGATGACGTCACACCCAGAGATGACGTCACACCCAGAGATGACGTCACACCCAGGGATGACGTCACACCCAGGGATGACGTCACACCCAGGGCTTCAGAGGGTTGCCGGATATATATATATATATATATATTTTTTTTACATATTTCCTCTCCAAATCTTCGTGTCATTTTTCTTCAGGTTTTTTCTTTATTTTACGTAAACTAACAATGATAAGTGACAGCAAAGAGGGACAGGAGTTGACAGACAGTTGACGTCATGAGATCTATCAACACTGTCAGTAAGACCGATATTATTCTTGTTTTAAGTTAAGGACAAAATATTAACTTTGGGTGAATCAAAACCTAACCTGACCTGACCTAACCTGACCTGACCTATCTAATTAATCATGTCTGGGGTCAACTTAACTCTAGTAGTGATGTTTGTCAGCAATAGGTAGTAGGCAGCTATAAAACAGGGAGGTACTGGGAAGATAATGGAAGCAAAATGTATATTCTAATGGTAGACCCTGCTGCCATATGTGACCAAGTCCCAGGTTGATGATCTGACTTTCTGCCTCATTTACACACAGGGGTCTCAATTGTTTCCCTGACAACACAACAAACATATATAGTTTCTCACCACTGAACTTGTTTTTAATTTTTTAGTATTTATTTATGGTTCTCTATAATGCTGAGTACTGTACCTCTGTTTCATTGAATCTATGTTAACTTGTGTCACGGTTTTACTGAATATCTATCTATAAATCAATCAATAAACCAATCTATCTATCTATCTCACCCCTTCGTTCCCCTACAGCGCCTCCGTCGGTTGGATCTGTCTTACCTGAGGACGGTGGGGCCGCCTATTCTGATTCGTCTCATCCCCAGCCTAACCCACATCACTGTCCTTAACCTCAGCATGACAGAAACCGTCGACCAGGTGAGGGGGAGAGGGGGTTTAAGGGAAGGGGGGAGTGTGAGATAAGAAAGAGATGAAAGGCAAGAGAAAGGTAGAGATAAACCTCACCCCTTCACCAACAGGTACTGGAGCTGATAGGCCAGAACTGCCCCGAGATACGTGAGCTGGACATCTGCAACACCCCTATCACAGAGTCGGGTCTCACGCGGTTGTGTTACGACGCCGAGAGAGACCAGTCCATGTGTCAGAAACTCGTCAAGCTCTCCATCAGCGGGTGTATCGTCTCAGCCAAGCCCGTCTGCTTCCTCCTGCAGTACATCCCGACCTTGAGGGAGATTGACTATGACGACATCTTCCAGGTAAGCAGGTGGATAAGCTGACAGGTGAGTAGGTGACTAAGCTGACAGGTGAGTAGGTGACTAAGCTGACAGGTGAGTAGGTGAGTAGGTGACTAAGCTGACAGGTGAGTAGGGGACTATGCTGACAGGTGAGTAGGTGACTAAGCTGATAGGTGATTAGGGGACTAAGCTGACAGGTGAGTCGGGGACTAAGCTGACAGGTGAGTAGGGGACTATGCTGACTGTGGTACCTGACCGTGATGAACTAGGGTACCTGGGTGGTCGTATGATTCACCGCCTCTCAATACTGTGATCATTTGTGTGTCGCCCCGTGATCAATGTCCTCCACCTGCCTATTGACCGAGGCACCACAAATATTGCTGTGGTGGAGCTTTTAAGTCACCCGGGGAAATTGGTATTGGTCGTGTGTGTGTGTGTGTGTGTGTGCAGTCTCTCGCCAGGAAAATCCACCCCCACGAACGAACACATACACAAATCTCTCCTCACCCCCACCTCCAAACAGGTGTGTGTGTGTGTGTGTGTGTATATAAGAGCCAGGTATTCTCCGGCAGGTGTTCGGGGTGCTGCAGAAGTGGGGGCTCACCTTAGACAACATCGACAGGTGCCACAAATTCCACCTACGGATCCTCAACTCCACCAATGACCTGGTCGACCCCTTCAACGTAGAGCTGGCCATCATGTTGTGTCCTTATGCTACGGTGAGTCGGCCATCATCCCCCCCCCCCCTCGTTAGGTGCTGTGGGCCGGGCCGGTTCTCTCTCCTGTTTCCTTTCGTTCCCTCTCCTCTCTCTTCTTAATCTACCTTAACCTAACTTCACCTGAACAGATATGCGTGTGTAGAACGTGAAGAATATAAAGTTAAAACACACAAGTTACTGGTGTACTAAATTGTATTAAATCCACCAGCTTAAAAAGGTCACTTAGTAAAAAAAAAGATCACACACACACAACTAGCCACTCTCTCTCACACACAGAACTTCACCCTAAGCAATGCCTACGTAGACAACGACGTACTCTACAAGGTAATGATGATGGAGCATCTCACTCACCTACGGATCACCAACTCAGAGGGACTCACACTCGACTTCCAGGAGGGTGTCTTGCCTGTACTCACCGTCAAGGGTCACCAGCTCCTGTCTCTCCTCTTGGCTAACTTTGCCTCCGTCGACGTGGCCGGTGAGTGATTCATGCCCTGTAGGAGGAGTAGTAACAGGTTAGGTACTATTGAATTAGAATAGTTAGGTAATAGATTGGTGAAGGTATGGCTAGAAGGGGAGGTTGGAGGCCATATAGATGATAATAAGTAGTAGTAGTGTCAACAACAATAACAACAATTAACTATTACTAAAAGCATGGCTGATAAAACACACACACACACACACACACATACACATATACCGGTACAGTCAAAACAGACACACTAGGACCAGTGGGTAGAGGCGGGTTGACCATAAGCTTTTAGAGTAAATTCGGTACAAATGGAAAAAATAGTGAACTGTGTAAGTAAATTATGTGTACGATAAAGTGTGCGTGTGTGTGTGTGGGTGGGTGGGTTCAGCTGTAACGTTATGACATGTTTACAGCCATCGGTGAGTGCTGTCCCCGGCTACAGAACCTGGCGCTTAGTGCTGTAGGCGTCTACGAGGAGATTATGTATCCCCGCGAGCACTACTTCACTACACTGAAGAATCTGGAGGTCAGTCTCTCTCTCTCTCTCTCTCTGTCTGGCTGATGTTTTTAAGAAAGCACAACAAATATCCTCAAAATATACTCCCACACCCCCACAGTGACCCTCCCTCGCTCAGCTGATCAGTGTGGTGTGTCTGACAGGTGTGGTCGAGCCTGACAGTGGACACGTGTAATACCACCATCCTGCGGCAGCTGCTGTGTTACTGCCCTGGCCTCCGCAACCTGCTGGTGAAGGCTACCGACGCCCTCTCTGACAAGTTCCTCTTTGATATATGGCGGGTGAGTGCGTCTTGGGTTCACACACACACACACATACTCGGCCTAATATTCGAGCAAATCATTTGTTTATTCATAACAACAAAGTAATTAATAATAGACAAAGTTCCTAAGCTGATAACTATGAAGATAAATTCCACCATATATATTACGAGTTATGAAGAGAAATACACAAGTAATATAAGTAATGTATTAACAGTATAAATAACGTATTAATTAACAGTATAAGTAACGTATTAATTAACAATATAAGTATCGTATTAATTCCCTCTGTTGTGGTGGTCAGGAAAACGCTATGCCCCAGCTGTCTCGCCTCACCATCGACACTTGCCCGAATGTGACAGCGTCGGCTATACACCACCTACTGGACATGACCAACGAACTCACTCTGATCCGCCTGTGGGGCTGTTTCTTCATCACCAAAGACGACGACAGGAAGATTCAACAGCGCATCAAGGACGAGAACTGTGACGTGTATCTGGAGTGGTTCTGCTGGGACGGTTGAACTTTTGAACTTATCCACCCCTAACACTCATCCATCGCCGTCTTTATTTTTCGTTTCTATACACCGTTTATTTACACCTCAACAAGTAAACGCCAACTTTTGTTATTTTCTTATTGTTTACTGATCATATACCAAATGTGACGACAATAACAATAAAATAAGGAAAGGAAAAAAGGAACCTCAAGATGGCGTAACATTATCAAGAGTGAATGATGACTTTCTTCTCCCGGGTCTATCTCCGTAGCTACTTGATGAATGACTGGACAAGCACGAGGTAGACTCAACAATAAATTATAACGAAAACAAAAATAATATTAAATCCAGGTGTTGTAATCTCTGATCCCTGTTTCGCTGGGTAAAAAAAAAGAAGTATTACCGTATGAGGTATTCAAAAACTTTGTAACAGCGCGCAAGGAAAATATGTCAGAATAGGCAACTCGATTCTATTCCCAGACACAAAAGGTTAAACTCGCATGTTTCTAAATTAATCAACACGCCTCGTCAATAGGTAGAAATGTGGCCTTTTGTCTTAGTAATAATAATGTAAGCGGTGTTGTCTGCTGGCCCGTGATGCTTGTTTTATTGTTTATCTGCTGTATATTTCATTATTTACAACACATAGCTTTAATTAAGTCTCACTGACATATATACAGGGTTAACTGTGTTCAATATCTACTGTGATAGGTAAATAACTCTTCCGAAGTATTGTCAAGTGTTAAGTACTGTAAGTCGGAAGTGACATTCAAGCTCCCGGAAGAGTTAATAATTAATGCTATGACTCGCACAGCTGTCTGTCTCACCACCCACACGCAGGACTGTTGAAGGTGGCTCCCAGTGGCGCCTTATTGAGTTACCAGAAAATATAATAGTTTGTGTAATGTGTGTTTTCTGGGTGACGATGGTAGGAATGTGTTAAATAATCCATTCTTTGTAAAAAAAAATAGATAGGAATTATTTAAGTAGTGCTCAGTTATTTATTTACCAGTAGTGAACTAATCTATAAAAGTGACAATCAAAACAATTATATGATTCACCAATTACTTTCCTCTATAATTTACCAAAGCCCGAGATGTTTTAGAGTAGGGGGCTGTGGTCACCAAACCCCAGATGTTTAGAGGAGGGGGCTGTGGTCACCAAACCCCAGTCACGAGGGCGGCTCCTTGACTAAACTAACAATATTTACACCAATCACTTACTTTCAAAGCTAATTCTCTATTTACTAAACCCCAATCCGTAATGTGACCAGGTATTAGCACTTATCTCACGTATAGGTCATGGCAGCGACAACAGTATAGCCACAATTAAATCTTTAAAACGAAATCTCTTTCACAATGCCCTGACCTACTACACTAAATACGTCTTCTGAAAGATACACATGAACTTTGCATGTACCAGTATTAATGATTTCTCAGCTTGACACCGCAGCTTGTTGTTTACTTTTATGACTATATAAAGCTTATTTTCTTACCATAACAAAGCTATTATCATTATTTTTGGTATCGGTTATGTTATTCAGTAGCTGCCAGTACTTGACAGGCGAAGCTATGACATCCAAATTCCCCAATGGCGTATAACAATATAAAATATTTCACCCACTTTTAAAACCCTAAAGTCTTCATAAGTATTGCAAATGTGTTTCGACATATCACGTATAACATGATCAAAGACATGCTACTATCCAATTTTAGGGCAATTAGGTTTTTTTTATATAGATTTGTCGCTGACTAGATATGTGTTTTAATCCTTCATAACGAGTTACCGCAGAGGCCATAACGTTTTATTTACAGCCACGGACGACTAACACAGGTGGCAGTCATCTTCAGCCTAGCCATAATTTGTATCATCCTTTCTATTAGATTATGTAATATAAACACCATCTTATGGTATGCTGCAGTACTAAACCGTTTACAATTATCGGAACAAGAAAAAAATATCGTCTGAACAAAAACATAATTTTTCTCTTTGGTCCTATAATTAAGGTAAAGATTTAGGTCATGTCTTCCGTAATCGACTTTCCCCTTATAAAATATGACCCACCTAGGCGCAGCTGAACATATTCACTGTAGTTTTATTATCAAAGTAAATATTAGCAGTGACGCTGAGCTGACAAATCCCTGATAATCTGATTTATGGCCCTATAATCAACTGTGCTGCTCTGCTTCAAAGGAATTATGAATCTCACCATAAATATACGTGTGTGTGTTGAGGGAGATGCAATACTGATCTGCTGCTCCTTAGTTCCTTCCACTAGTGTTTGTGTTCAGTCAGTAATTGGAGGATTACTTGCTTATGGTGGGACGTGACAAAACGCTAGAAATGTTGTGTTAAGTGTAACTGCGAATGGATCTCCAAGAATCCGTGAACGAAATTCCAAAAAAATTAAGAAGATTTAGAGAGCAGATAAAGTCTAGAATAAACTAATGTAAGATTTGTTTGCGGTTTGTCCAAGAAAATTGACACCTACCTAACTTAACACCTCACCTCACCTAACCTAACCTAACCTAACCTAACCTTACCTCACCTAACCTACGTCTAACCTAACCTAATACCTACGTCTAACCTATTTTATCTAACACTGACTACCCGCAAAAGAACTCCCTCATCCATGAACGCAACAAATGTCGAAATGTTTGTAATGGTCAAGAATATCCCACGAGAAACAGTGCCCCGTGGGACTTGCCATTATCATAAACAAAAAAACCTAATCACAGACTAACAGACATGTACAGCAACACGCACAATCTGAATATATCAATCCCCAGGAGACGCGGCATGAAGAACGCTGATTCTTCGTATCTCACCATTTATTTTTGGAAAATTAATCATACAAATTTAATTCCCGTGTGCAACATATCACTCACCCGAAAACATAAACTAATGCCTATCAATCTGGAGCCAACACCCATGTAATCTTAACTCCCATACAAGCCACTATGACTATATTGTTCAAGCACGTACTGCTGGGTAGGGATCATACCGTACATTAAACAGTATCTATTAATAATTACGCAATAAAAGGTCTTCCTTCTGAACAGGGGATCATGAACTAGTCTTACTATGTGGTGAACTCTTACCTACACAGAACACCTGGCCTTATGTTACCTGACTACTAGACGTTCACCACAGACAAATTTTAAACCTTGTGGGAAACAAGAGCTTTTCTGGCAAGTCGCGAAATAAAACACCACAATGGCATAAAAGCGGTTTAGCGTCTCTGGTCATCCATTCTCTCCTGGGATTTCACCGAACAATATTAAACAAAAAATAAACTTTAAACCCTCTGGGGACAATGGTTTAACTTTAACCTGTTGAGGATAACAGCTTAAATAGTCAACTTGAAAGTGTTGTAGTTTAAACCATTATCCTCAAAAGCATTATAGTTTAAACCATAATTCTCAAAGGGTTATCGCTTTAGCTTATGTCCTCAGAAACATAAATAAATACAGCCTAAGGTATTAACAAGTACATAAGTAAAATATCGATGTTGAAAAAAACGTATCGAAGCTCTGTACTTACTAGGAGGTACCTATGCACTTGGCTATACGTTGCAGTAGGAAAACATTGAAATACTATAAGATAACCCTCAAATATAATACCACTAACAATTTTATGTAACTTTTATCTGTTATCTCCGTTTATCTATCAGCTACAGAATAATAAATGATGCCAAACTGGGAGTATTGATAAGGCTTAGTAATAATCGTAGTACCACCACCATCCAGAAATATAGCAACTCAGTACACACATTTAAAACAAATTCTAACTGGTTGGCTTCAATCATCAAATCGATCAACGTTGTGAATGCAGTGATAGAAGCAGCTACCCCGTACTTACCGATTTATAAAGGCCAGCCAACTTTTCGACTTTAATAATATAGGAGTCAATTTGTGGTCTACTGCTATATTAATTTATGGCTACTGTATGACCACCAATTTCATGAGCTAGTTGCTAGTATATGGCCTTCACCTACTGTATAAGCTCTCGGTGTTTGGTCTGGTTGCCACGCCACAAAAGACGCTGATAGTTTTGGTCAGGGTAACTGTGTGTGTGAGAGGGCACAGTTTGTTAGAGCATAGCATAAAGCTGTTTAATAGAGGCTAAAGAAATCCTCATGGCATAAGGCCTAATGTCTTTGTATATTGGGCAATTTCATTTTTAATTTCATACTTTTACACGATTATTTATACAAGAAACTCTTTGCAGGTTTTATACCAGAGTTATTAGTTAAGCTGAATAATAATATTAATTAATAAGTACGGTAGTTGTGCCTACTTAATATTTGTTCTGGCATTTTAGCAACTGATTAGTGTATGCGGTGCCTTTGTCTAGGGTATCAAAGCCAGCGTTCAGGTTACTGCGCACTTTTCATATAATTTAATTGTGTTAAATGCATGAAGTACTGCCAGTGTGTTCTGAGTAAAATAACTGTTTATTACTGTAGGTGTTGTAGTCAATTACAAAATAATTGAAATGAAAAATATTACACTAAAAACATACATGTTCTTATATATAAGCAAATTAAGGTTACTATTAACGATGCTAATATAAAGTAACGCAAAACATAACATACCTGAATGATTTTGTCAATAAAGTAATAAAAGTTTTCCACGTGCCATCTTATTTTCCTCCTTTATCTTAGAAGGTTAACTTATGACTGACTCAAGTTCCTAATAGTCAGCCATGATCAATAGCATCACCCCACGACCCAGCGGCCACACCAAACATTACAACTGAAACTAAACTTGGTGTTGATTCTGGGCCGGCCAGCCAGCCACCCATTATACTCCAGTCCTGACAGTCTCCTGGTTTCTGTTGATGATCTATTTCTCTATAATACACCTTGTGACACTATTTCTTGGTGGTGTATTGTCATCCTTCTATATCCAGTATTTACCATGACAGCTTGGGCGTAATGAGTACAGTGCAGGACGTGTCAGTACAACTCCCGCTAATAGTGACTTGACGTGATTTGGTGAGGTAAAACTTCGGCAATAGTGAACGAGACAGTTTACACAAAAATTAATTGATGGAAATTAACTAAAATTTCTGGAGATACTATTTCCATGCTACTGGACACAAAAATGGAAACGATAATGTACAGAACGTAACAAAACCTGATCTAATTAACCTAACCTTACCTAACTTCCTAGGGTAAAGGCGTAGATAACGGCTACCACCAGATGGAATTATCCGAATTAGTAGAATTTTTTTATACATACTAATATGATATTAAACACAAAAATGGAAACGACAATGCATAGAACCTAATAGAACCTGACCTAACAAAATTGGCGCCGGGAGAATTGTGAAGCGGGATAGAGGAAATAAAAAAAAAATAATTAAATCACAATAGAAAGTTGTAGTTTCTTTTAATATACTTAAAATCATCAAAACAATAAGCACGTACAACAAAAATAAAGAAAATCAACAAAACACTTCTGGTGGTAGCCGTTATCTACACCTTAGCCCCAGGCATATTAAGCAGAAAGAACTTACTTTTATATCTGGTGCCAATTAAAGCAGCAGCTGTATCTTGTAGCGGCATGATATAATTTTACGATGTTTTATGGACGTGAGATTACGATCGATTCTTGCAATGAAACACTTATTTCTTCTTCACTGTCAATTCTACTGCACTATGAACACTGTACGTCTTGACAAGCACAGAAAACTTATGATACGATACCGAACACGACGTGATAAAGACGCCATAGTAAAATAATAAGGCTCCTCTGGTCTCCCTCTCAGTCGTACTCCTTTCGGAAGAACAATAAGTACAGTAAAGATACAGTTCACTTATATTCGAAACGTATTAAAAGCGAATCAAAACCCATAATACTGTATGGACTTTGATTCCAATACTATTATCCTCATCGACTATAGAAGGAATTGGTTTAATTTATTGAGCAGAAATAAAAAATAATCGGTATTTGTGCCGATTATAGACACAGGACTGAAGGCTAATAAAGGGGAACCCAGACATATATTTAGGGAACTGTTTTAAACGACAAGACCTCCTCAATTACCAACATGAGTATGGCTTTGAAATAGAGGGAAAATGTCTGTTAAAATACTATAAAGAACACCAAACAAACCTTTGAAAAACCTAACCTAACCCATATAAAGGTTAGAAATCGATTTGGAGTTCATGGATGACCTCAACTGAACACCGAAAACAAGCATAAGGGTAAATGCTTTAAAGTTTAGGATTTTTATAAGTTAGGTAAGATTAGGTAAGATTTTTAAAGGTTCGTTTGGTGTTTCTTTTAACCCGAATTTTCCATCTACTTCAAAGCCCTGGCCACTTTGAACAACTAATATTGTTGGTAATTTTATTGGTTAAAATACTCGAAAAATATAAATTTCTGCCAGAAATGTAATTGAACAAAGTAATATTTTTTTTTTTGCTCTTTCTCCTTATATGAGTAGCATACAATTTGCGGAAATTTTGATAAACGAATTTTTACCATGATCATAGATAAAGAATTTTTTTCAAATACTGTACATATAAATAATTGTTTTATCAATTTTATTAGTTAATATCAACCAAAGAATAACTGGAAAATTTGAATGAAATAAATGCATTTAGTTGCGAACGGCCTCCTCCACTTTTACCTTCAATATAATTCATGGTGGTCCAGCAGCCTGTACCTGTGTCTGCTGTACCTGTGTGTTGGCATCACCTGTACTGTACCTGTGTGTTGGCATCACCTGTACTGTACCTGTGTGTTGGCATCACCTGTACTGTACCTGTGTGTTGGCATCACCTGTACTGTACCTGTGTGTTGGCATCACCTGTACTGTACCTCCTCTTTTCACCAACTAATTATCAAAGTATCACCTCATAATCTCACATTCCTCATCATTATCTGTAATTCTCTCGAGGATAAGGAACAGGTTGTCTTTAATGTTTATCAAATGAATTGTTTTATGTACACACATCATAAGTGCAGTACTGTATTACCCTCGATAACCAAGAATCACAAATAAACTTGTTACAGAATCATTTCGCCTATGGACAAGACGCTTGTCACTTACTGTTTCGTTCAAATTTGAGAAACTTTAGAATTGCTCTACCTATAATAGTTACGTCTAATAATCACCTCAGGGATAAAATGTACAGTCACAATGTATCCACACAGTTCACTCACTCCCTGTTAACTGTCTTTTATAATAACTGTGAAACTTTTACATGTAGTTTACTGTTATTTATGATACAGAAATTTTGGGGGGTATTTCTGTAAGTTTCCTCTCGGCTAATATTTGGATCTTGACTGTTGCTGTACTGGTGGACAATTAATACTCACTGCACAAGTATTTGCCGGCTACACTGGTCTTCTCAACAATCTCTCATCAATATAAACCAATAGCCCATTTGACCATTTAGATGTTCCTCCAGTTCATTTCTGACCTTACATGTCTGGGAAACAATGGCGTTCAAATATTCTGTTTAATCAATTTTGTTGTGATTCAATATATCCAATTCCCACTTTAACAGGATAAAGGCAGACTTGGGTATCAGCTACAAGTATAGTTTAGGTCGGGGCAGAAGACTCGGTAAATGTTTAAATATTATGAAACAATTTACACCAAAACAGTTTATTTATACAAAAGTTCATTTCATACACAAAATAATATACTGTACATAGTTGTAATTCCTTGAATAATGTATTCAAATGTATTTACAATGTCAAAATTTCCAAGGAAATATATAATAACCAAGAGATATTTACACAACAATATATGTAGTCAACTATTAACAGAAATATCTGGTCCTCTTTGAGAGCACTGTACTGTAGTGACAATATTAGGTAGCAAGTGTAGGCCCTGATCCATCTCATGTGTTTACCCAACACAGCACAACTAGTATTGCTTGGCATGAAGGAACTTGCAGTTCTTTCCGTGTCGACAATGACCGTTCATGAAGTGTTTACAAGGTGGCGGCGTGCCCCGGGGGCCCCAGCCGCCGCCTCGCCCACGGAATCTTGGTCCTCCTCCCATCCCAACATTGGGCATCATGCCACGAGGGCCCATGTTGGGTCTAGGACCCATCATCATGCCTTGCCCTCCACTGCCCATCATCATATTTTGTCCAGAATAATCAGGCCCCGGACCACCCCAACCAGGACCATCCATGCCTCCACCCATGTCACCACCATAGTTGCCATGCCCAGGTCCACCATATCCACCAGGTCCAGTTGGTCCAACACCAGGTCCCGCATGTCCTCCATACATAGGAGCAGCAGCAAACTGTAGAAGAAGGAATATATTGTATTAGTTTTTATATCACTTCAATAAGTCATCTTTTGACAAAAATAACATATTTAAGAAACTACAAAATATCTCCCAGGTACTTAAAATACAATACAGTATATTACTGTATACAATGGACTGAGGTTGTAATCCCTAAAAAGTATTATGCCTGGAAAATGACTTTTGACATGTCTAATGAGACTGTTCTTGGTGGTGCCTGTACAGCATCACATTACTACACTATGATGTTGGTAATGCTGACAATCCTCAAGAGGAACACTTAAGGATTGTAATCAAATCAAAGGATTATAGAAAGAATAAATTAGTTAACAAAGATAAAGGTAAGTGTCTGACTCACCAAAAACAGTAAATCATAAGACAACAATTCACCTTTTCAAGATATTTTTAAATTCCACTTAAATACCACATTATTAGAATCAAGAGCAACAGAGACTTCCCCCAATTTGCTCCCATCCACTCACTCATTCTCACTATGGTGGTCCTCGTCTACAATAAGGCCCATAGATGGCTACAGTATTTATTTGGTTTAATTTCCTCACTTCCTACAATATAACATCATCCATCAGCAGCACAAGTAACCATAAATATCCCTTAAGTCTTTGCTTCCTGGTCAATCATGCTCAATGTTTATCTCCTCTAACTCACCCTTCCACCTCCTCCTCAGTGCTTCAGGAGGACAGATGGATAGCATAAATCCATACTGTACTTACTTCCACAACTTAAGAATTTTACTAAAACTATTACAGTTCTGTATTTTAATTCTATTCATATTCTGAGTGACTAATGTACAGGATATTAACTTCTACACTGGTTGAATATTAACACACATGACATGAGAAAACGTTGGCTGTATAATAACAACTCACTTCATTTTAATGAATACTGAATTTACAGACACTACTAAGCAAAGTGAGGATAATTTCAGAGATAGTTTCTGAAGTCCAATACCTGGTATAAAATCACTATGAATTAAAATAATTCAGGCCAAAAGGGTATCTAGTAAAGACTAAAACAGCTTTTGGAGATATTACAAACACAGTTCATGTTTTCATAATGTCCACTAACACCTCAGGAGTATAGGACATTGTATTAACCTTCCTTACACTGCACTTGCGCCCCCCAGGAACTTGTTATATGATTCAGTCACCACAACTCACTCTATAGAATTTAGTATTAAAGACCACTTTAACTAGACAGAGGCCACGTTTATGATGATGATAACCTCACTATTAATGGTTCACTCATTCTCAGTGTACTGTGGTGAGGAATCTCTATTTTAGGAACTACTTCTGTACTAACAGGTACCTATTCAGTATTTCTAAATCAACTACACTGTTTTCTACCTAACCTACATACTACCTCTACCTATCCTTCTACCTTACCTGCACACTACCTTAATCTTCCCAACTACCTTACCCACATAATACCTCTACCTATCTTGCCTAAATGTTCCCTCAATCTACTCATCTTTGCTTCTCTCTTTCACTTTACTTATACAATACATCCTCCCTGATGATCTCACTCTGCTCAAACAGGTTAACAAATGTATTATAACTGTGATACTTACTCCACCACTTGGGGGTCCTCCAATAACCCAGTGTGATCCACCACCAGAGCTGCCACTCCCACTGCTGACACCCCCACCACCGCCAGACATTCCACCCATGTTGCCCATGCTGCCGATGCCTCCATAGCCATAATTCATGGGGTCGTTGATGATGGGTTCTGGCCACAACTTGTTGCGATGATCGTGCATGTTGTCTTGCCCGGACACATCATGTAGGGGGACTTCTTTTGGCTCTGCTCGGACCACCAGCTCTGGGTCTGGTTCACGAGGAGTGTCTGGGAGCCTGAAATGATAACTTACATTAAACACCATGTATATTTATCCAGTTTTCTTAACCAATAAAAAGCTCAAGGAGAGATCAAACAAGTATCAGTGTCAAGTCTGACCACCGAAGCATTCCCTTACCAAAAATAAACTGTAAAGTGCATTAAATAACGTATCAAGTGCTGTACAGCTTTGTAAACTTTTGTATACTTCAGTATAAAGAAAACAGTTGGAAGTTCAACATATTTACCACAAGACAACATGCCTCATTACAGAAGGAATTTCATCTTTCTATAAGGAACTAAAATTTAAATTTGTGTTTATAGAGGAGTTCAAAAAGTACGTCTCTCACATAATTATCTTCCCATTTTATAAGTTAGAGGAGTTCCAATATAATATGAAACATTATGAAAGTAACAGAGAGCAAAGATTAAGACTAATAAACACTACTCCTTTACTTATCAGCTTTACTCAACTCCTAAGAGAAGTAGGGATATATGGGAACAAAATAATATTTATACATCATCAACTCATGTCCAGGGAGGCAAGAGTGACCAAGAACTGGTCTAAAACTGCACAGGTGTTTACAGAGGTGACATAACAGAATCATTAACCCCACACACCTTGATTACTGTACTTCCTAATAATTTGCTTTCTTCAATATCTTAGATGAAACTCATGAATACATCACCCAAGCAGACAACACCTGACAGCTACTAACTCTTCCCTCAATATAACTTATTTTAGGATCACGCTTGATAACAGCAACTCCTAAACTTATTGAAGGATCATACACATTAGAGGGAGAGACTTGTTATACTGTACTCTGTCACTTACATAGCAGGGTGGAAGAAGGCAGCCATGGTGGAGCTCTCTCTGGTGGCCTGGATGACTCTCTCTTGGCTCCTGCACCCTGGAGTGATGTTTGGCTGACCGGTGAGATTGACTGGCAGTAGTGACCACCTCATGTACTCTTGGACATTAATGTGATTTGGGTGTATGCTCATGTTACCCATCATGTGTTCGTCTCCCATGGCATTATTCATGCCTCCTCCCAAGGCTCCCACATGGCCCGGCAAGACTCGAGACTTGCCCATGGCCTCGCGCTCCCTCTGCTTCTCCATCACCATCAGCTCGTTGAACTTTATTGTGTTGACGTTAACTGGAAAGAGATTTATCATAAACAAAGTCGATCTTTACTAATGCAAAACATTTCTAACTAACAAAATTATTCACAAACTTAACACAAATTTCAAGCCACACATAGTTTACTGATTAAATATCCAGTAAATACATATAAAATAAAATATGATACATTGCTTTCATTGACAATTAGAAAGAAATCAAAGGTGCAAAAACTAAGGGCAGAAATGTGATTGAAATATAGACCAAATAACAAGTGAGATATTAAAGTTGAGGTGCAGCCCCACCAAGACTTCTTAGTGTCCGTTTACTTCTCATAATTAAGGTTACTGACATCTTTAAATAAAATATAAACTATAAAGCTAATCACAGCACCTGAACACATACAGTACCTCCTTCATACACACGACCATTAGTTCTGTCTCTGTAACATTTACCAAGTTGAAGCAGACACTCATGAGTACATATTCCCCCACTATTAACACTGTTGCTTCAGATAAACAGCATCCTCACTATTACCACCAGTTGCTTATTTCCCTCACCACCACAACCATTTTTACACAGTTATTCCTCTCAATAATAGCTCTCTTTACACTACAAAAACAACAATACTCCCATGATAACTTAATCCTCCCAGTCACATAACTCTCAAAAACTACCTTGGCACACACACACACACACCTGACCACCCATATACAGGACCTCATTTGTACCAAGTCTTATGAAATTATGTTGCAAGTCTTGAACAAGTTGATATTATAATCCTTCAATCACAGACAGTCAACATTTGGTAACAGACAATGCAGAACCAAAAACAGACACAGTGCAGTAAATATGCTATCCTTCCATACAAGTTAGAAAGATAAAAAACATATCTACAGTACCTCTCTCAGTCTCATCCAGTTCAAAGAGGAAGACTTCCTTCAGATCATCCTCGGTCTTCCATTTCACAGACTTCTTCTTGCGGTTGACGGGGCGGTGGTAGACCAGGACGCTGCGTATGCTCTCAGGGTTGGGCGAGGAGAATGTCACCTCCACCTTCTCGTAGTCCTCGTGGGCGGGGGCGGGCACAGCCGGCGCTCGGGGGATGTCATCGTCCTTCATTGCTGATGGAAAATGAGGTTAATTAGACAGATGTGGATAAAAGGTGACAGATATGGATAAAGATATTATTTGACATAACTGATAGACAAAGATAAACATAATACCATATATGGGAATAGATATACAGTACATTCCATCTAGCATATCAATAAACAAATAAAGACAGACATACTCGGCAATAGATGATAACAATACCAGGGATGCATTATAGTGAGAAAGACATAACAGATAGAAATAGGCCTGATAAAAATATACAGGAAACAAAGGGATAGACTTTGTGTGATGATACTTATATAACCAGATGGAAGGATGAAAATGCACACACACACACACATACAAAGCCATTACTCAGGCCATCAATAAATAAATCAAATACTTTTATGTTTGAACAATATGAGGTCCTTTTAAGTTACTCTTTGTCAGCCAACACAATATAGTCATAACATCTATTGACTAAAGGCAAATAAAACAAATAATATACATTCATGTGTGCAAAAGCAATAGCGTGTGTGTGTGTGTAACTCTGTATATAACTACGGTCATCAATGCCTTCAGGAACGCATGCACTGGTGAGTCCAACAAGCAAGTGTACTAATGTGTCAGTAATAATAGTATTGTATATGTCAACCAGACCATTAACAGTAGCACTAAAAAACAGAATTAATTGAAGCTCTAGTGAATTAACATGTTAGTAATAATATAACCATCAGCAGGAGTACAACAGAGTTAAATTAAGCTTTAGTAGAATAACAAAATTCACCAACAATAGTTTATGGAGATAGAACCATCATCTCTAATATTAAATTAGTTTGAGTTTAAGCAATAATATATCCTGATCCAAGATAAAAGCAATGTTGTCTGTAGTCACGACCATCTTCCCGAGTGTCATAAACAGCATAAGATACGAGTCAGAAGCAGCAGTAATGTTGATAGAGACAGAAATCAAAGCACTCATACAGTACCCAAAACAGTCATAACAATAGTATTCATGCCAGTACTGTATACCAACTGGACAAAAGCAGCACTATTAGCAAACACAATCAGTAAAAATGAATAAAAACAGTTAATAAAAGCATAAAGAACACTATCATCAGCCAGACACCCAAGAAGCACCACCACCTTGACCACGTACCCACAGCACCATCACCATTACTGCCACCATCACCACCCCCAGCCTCTGATGACGACTCCTTGGCCTCACTTTCTTCCAACTCCATCTGGGTGGCGTTGAGGTCGTCTCCGTTACCCTCCTCCTTCATCTCCACGTCTCCGTCCTGACTCTCGCTCTGTTGGTGGTTCTCCTCGCTCCCTTCCTCTCCGTTTTTCGCCTCCATCGCCTCTTCTCCCTCTGTCTTCTCTGCATCATTACTCTCTGCCTTGGTCTTGTCTTCATCATCATCGTCCTTTAATGTCTCTTGATAGAACTGCAAGATGAACACCAAGGATTAGAACACTGTATAATCTTTACCTTCTCCAGCCCTGTTTAATCACATACATATACACTACACATACAAACAAACATACACTCCCAGAAAGGAGACCTGAAGCACAGTTAGTATCCTGGATGTGTTAGTTAGATCACATGAAGTATCTCCACCAGTTTATCTCACCTAAAGATTAACCACCCCAATCACTACTGCAGGAGGATGAGTTTAGCATCAGGGTGGTTAATCTTCAGGTGAAATAAGATGGGGTGGTGAGTCTTCAGGTTATCGAATATCTTAAATACCTCTTGCCTAATCATATGGCCCATCATAATAAAATATATGTACAGTAGGGTACATTATATTCACCCTACCCCCTACTAGGTCTTAATATAGATGTAATGTACACATTTTGGGGTTAAATATTACTTTGGAAAATCTCTTAATTTGGGTAACCTCGGGTCCTTGTGGGGAACCTCATCACTCAAAAGATCAGCCTCAGATCCTGCTTTCTCAAAGGCTTGTATATTAACGATCATGTACTGTAATATTAAAGCTTAAATATGATCACCTATTATAACAAAATTCGATGGTGTACAGTACTGTATCTCTGTAATTCTCGACACTGAACTACTGCATTATGCTTTTAATAGCCTAATAAACACAATGATTTTGTTGGTCAATAAATATATATTAATGTTTAATAAAGTAAAAAAAAATCAAAATGTGCACTTTTTTCCTACACCTAATTATAAGTCTTAATATATCAGGAATGCAATTGATTCCAAAAGACAGTAAAACTGTCCAAAGCTCTGAATCCTGGAGTGCATTTTGATCAGACCCCAGAGAGGTCACCGCTCACCTGACTAATATTGAAGTTATCACTACATAAAACGTACACCGGCTGAGATTAAAAACAATACAAATAAAAAACCGTATACAGGATAATATAAATACTCCTATTATCAAACAGTATAATGGATAAAATTAAACTAGACATAAGTGGGTGACTTACGTTGAAGGTTGGCCTCACGCTGGTGGGGGACAGCATGACGCTCTTGTCCTCCGCCTTGGTGGGGGAGGAGGCGGGGGACGTAGCATCTTCCTCCTTCTTGTCCTCCTCCTTCACCTCACTCTTGGGGTCTTTGGGATCACTCTCACTAGACTTCCTTTTACGGGTCACCTTCTTACGTGTTTCAGGGCCAGCAGCTGTGAGCGCCGCCATAAACCCGCCATCGTCAGACAGAGACGCTGAAACACAAATACAAAAAAATTAGCTACAAGTTCTATCTCTCAATCTGCCTATAAACTTAATAATAAGAGAATAAGGGCGGTAGGCTTTATAGATAAACTGTAGTCTTTCCTGCAAATGAAGTCATTTTATCGGGGCTTCTGCAAAAGAGAAAAATCATCATTAAATTGACTATAAAATTTCCTGAAACTTTAAATCAAATTGTATTAGTACAGTATGTATAACTCCCGACAAACAACCTCCTGGCCACAAATTATCAAAATACATTTAAAACAAATCCCAAAGAAAACCAGCACGAACCATTGTAAAAAATAAAGAAAAAATACAGAAAAAAAATTAACAAATGATGATAACACCCAACAATAACAATGAAAACAAAAATCAATAATCCCAGAACTAAAAAAAAAACATTGGTAATTTTCCCGTTCAATTTTACTAATAAATAGTCATTACTGCCATACAAATAAAATCTAAGAAACGCTTGTACAGTATAACGGCAAGAAAACGTTTAAGTTACGTGTGTTAGATAAAGGATACGTGTGTCACCATTTCTAGTTTATACTGCTGAAGAGCGGAAAAGATGGAGACTGGGGAAGGGGGGTTAGGAAGGAAGGGTGGGGGAGAAGGAAGGGTGGGGAGGGAAGGAAAGAGGGGAAGAATGGTGGGAGGAAGGAAGGGTGGGGAGGGAAGGAAAGAATGGTTGGGAGGGAAGGAAGGGTGGGGGAGGAAGGAGGGTTGGGGAGGGAAGGGAAAGGAGGGGGTGGGGGGGAAGGAAAGGATGGTTGGGAGGAAAGAAGGGGAAAGGATGGTGGGGAGGGAAGGAAGGGGGGGAGGGAAGGAAAGAATGGTGGGGGAGGAAGGAAGGGTGGGGAGGGAAGGAAAGAAGGAGGAAGGAAAGGATGGTGGATGGGGGAAGGGTGGGGGAGGAAGGAAAGGTGGTGGGAGGGAAGGGGAGGGAAGGAAGGGTGGGGGAGGGAAGGGAGTGGGAGGGAAAGGATGGTTGGGAGGAAGGACGGGTGGGGAGGAAGGAAAGAATGGTGGGGAGGGAAGGAAGGGGTGGGGAGGGAAGGAAAGAACGGTGGGAGGAAGGAAAGGATGGTTGGGAGGGAAGGACGGGTGGGGAGGGAAGGAAAGAATGGTGGGGAGGAAGGAAGGGGGGGAGGGAAGGAAAGGATGGTTGGGAGGGAGGAAGGACGGGTGGGGGAGGGAAGGAAAGAATGGTGGGGAGGGAAGGACGGGAGGAAAGGAAAGAAGGGCTGGGTAGGGAAAAAAAAGGTTGGGTAGAGACGCACTTCATTTTTCATTCTTTAGCTGGGAATCAAACAGCGGAACTTGTTACTGTAGTGTCAGTGTGAGTTATCCGGACACCAAACTCTGGTCTTCTTTGTGTTGAGGTCTTGTGAATCCCCAGTTACATACGCTCTTGGTTGAGGGAAATATGTGTAGGTATGGTTTTAGTGTCACGTAATTTAACTCAGATAAAAAGACCAGGGTGTAAATTATATATTTTCTGGACACTCAGCTTGTACCTATTAACACCTTGAAGAAAATGGGGAAGAGAAAGATGACGTAGAAAACAGAAGAGGAGGGATAAGAAGATTAAAGAGTAGGAAGAAAATTAGCACATTACAGGGGAAGATGGAAGAGGATAACAAGATTAAAAAATGAACTTCTTTAATACATTAGTTCCTCAACCACCAGCCCACATGAGAGAGAGAGAGAGAGAGACCTTTAGCAGCTACGCCAAGTTCTGCTTTAATGGCTACACCTATCACCACAACCCGTGATGACTCGTCCTGGCCAGATGGACTGTGGTGGTCTGACAAGGTTTTCCCAGCCCAACAAAAATAACTACAATTCCAAACCCAATCATTGTTAGAATTCAAAGGATATAGACTTAAATCGTCGGTTGATTTTGTTCATCTGTAAAAATACGTAAAGATTTTTTTTTAAGTTTGTCTATTCACCAGTTTATTATCGTGTGGTGTAGTGAGCGCTCATCGACGGTCACCCGGGAGAGTTCATATACTATGGTCAAACATTAGTTTTTCTCGTGTATTAAATAGACCGATAATAAGACAAGCTTTCTGTATTGATTCAATAGAGTTTCATAAATAGATCAACAATAAAACTGTTAACATTAGAATAAAAACAATAACTACCAAATCATTACATCGCTAAGTCAAAATATACCTTTAAACGGACACACAATTGGTTTCAAGAGTAAGTGATAAAACATAACAAGTTTAAATAGTGAGTAAACGAATAAGACATTCATTAAGAATATTATCAAGTCACTAATCTGCCATCTAGTTTGAGTTCCCCTTCATAAAGCATCGAGCAGACCAGTTGTCATTTTTTTCAATACAATGTCACAATGAGTTTAGACTTCCACGTTGGTACATTTTCAATCTCCTTAACCAACGAAGCTTCACAATAACCATATATAAATGTCGTTTCCAAAATCGTGGACACAAGATATATTTAGACATTTTGTGCAACTAACAAATAATAACCTTAACCCACAAATATCAAATTAATACTAAAATACAATACGAAAACAAATGACACTGCTGATAATATAAATTAAACAATAAGAACAGTAAGATGTAATATTCCTACAGTAAGTGAACGTTGCCCAACACCTGCCAGCACCGCGCGAGCCAGCCTGGGTTAGGAAATGTCCTTGAAAGCACTCCCTTCTACCAACATCATCCCACCAAGAGCCAGGGACCTTATAATCCATTGTTACTGCTGTTTTTAGTGACATTTTATCTTGATGGGTCTCATATACACAGTTCGTCATGGTAGTTCAGTTAACTCACGGTAGCATTATAGTACAAGTAGCGGTCATCTTCAAGCGCAGTTGATTTAAGTTATACACACACACACACCCGTTTTATGTATCCCTATAACGGCACTCAAAAACAGCTTCTCACTAGTACTGGGTTGGGGTCCCGGTATAGGGGATAATGTTTTAGTGGGTATTGTTGAATCAGAGACAATCCTGTATCAAGATTTGACCCCAGTTTGCCAGTTTCGGGTTCGAGGTTTGTCTTGGGGTAGGCAGATCGACTTGATGTGTTTACCTAAAGCTTGAAGACCACAACACCACCTAGTATTATATTCTTGTTTGTATCTACTGTAAACTAAGCCAGTGATCTGGTGTATACTAAATGTCCACCTACTGTAAACTAGGCCAGTGTATCCCCAGGTGTAAACTAATTATCCTAAAGTAAACTATGCTTGTGTTCGTCCAATGTAAACAATTTGTATCGACCTTGTAATAACAGTAAAGTAGAAACAAAGCCAATATTTGTCCGACCATTGTAGCCTAAGCCAGTTTGTGCCATACCAGTATACACTAAGCCACTGTGGTGTACTTAAGACAAACTGAGCCACAGTATCTTCTTAGTGTAAGCTATTTACTGTAAACTAAATCATCATGTGCCGAAGGTAAACTAAATCAGGGTGTAGTAGTGTAAACTCACTATATCCTAAATAAACTAAATCACTATACCTTGTCTACTATAAACTATGCTAATGTACCTACCTAGTGAAAACCAAGGTAGTGTAGTTGTCTGGTGCAAACTAAGCCAGTATACCAAGCCACCCAAGTGTAAACCGAATCATTGTGGAGCTGCCTAACCTAACCCAAGTTGTGTGCATATACCTGGTAAAGAGTAAGCCACCTACTGTACTCTAAGCCATTGTCTACCCAGGTAAACTAAGCCATTCGTGTGTAGAGTAAACCAAGTCATTGTGTATCTAGGTTAAACTAAATCAAGGTGTACTAAACTAAGCCAGTGGATCTTTAATTAAGCCACTGTGTCTGGTTAAACTAAGCCACTTTGCCCCCACCTAGTGTAAAACCCACTTACTGTAAAGAAAATCATAGTGTTTACCTAGTGTAACCAAAGCCATTATCTACCAACCTAGTGGAAACAATTCGTAAACTAACCAGTGTTTATCTGATGTGAACTAGGCCAGTACAGTATCCATATAAGGCCAGTACAGTACCCAAACTAGGCCAGTACAGTACCCATACTAGGCCAGTACAGTTCCCATATAAGGCCAGTACAGTACCCATACTAGGCCAGTACAGTACCCATACTAGGCCAGTACAGTACCAGCATACTAGGCCAGTACAGTACCCATACTAGGCCAGTACAGTACCCATACTAGGCCAGTACACATAGCTAGGCCAGTACAGTACACTAGACCAGTACAGTACCCATACTAGGCCAGTACAGTTACTACTAGGCCAGTACAGTACCCATACTAGGCCAGTACAGTACCCATACTAGGCCAGTACAGTACCCATACTAGGCCAGTACAGTACCCATACTAGGCCAGTACAGTACCCATACTAGGCCAGTACAGTACCCAAACTAGGCCAGTACAGTACCCATACTAGGCCAGTACAGTACCCATATAAGGCCAGTACAGTACCCATATAAACTAAATTTTGCATCTAACTCGTGTAAACTAAGCCACCATACAATTATATTAACTATACTAAGGTGTATCTACCAAGGGTAAACTAAGCCAGTATACCAAGCCATTACATATCTCACACTAGGTGACATGTTTCTACCTCTTGTAAATTGAGTAGACTAATCAAGGCGCGTGAACTAAGCCACTGAATATATACCAAGTGTAAACCAAGCCAGTCCACTAACCCCGTAGGAGTGTAAACCAGTTTCTCTTGTAAAAAAGCCATTTGTCCTAGAGTAAACTATGCTAACATGTTTCCAGCGTCGACCAAGTCATTTATAATTAGAAGCCTCTTTGTATTAACCTAACCAAGCCAGTGTGTAACAGCAGTGTAGCTGAGCCAGTGTGTATTGGTGTAAAACCAGTGTATGTGGTAGTAGTGTAGTTAAACCAGTATAATAAACTTGTATGTGCATCTAGTGTAAAGTCAGTGTACACCTAGTGTAGGTAAGCCAGTGTACATCTAGTATACACCTAGTGTAGTTAAGAAAGTGTACACCTAGTGTAACCAAGAAAGTGTACATCTAGTGTACACTTAGTGTAGGTAAGTTAATGTACACCTAGCGTAGTTAAGCAAACACCTAGTGTATTCAAGCCAAATGTATACCTGGTGTAGTTAAGCCACATATATGTGTACACCTGGCGTAGATAACCCGGCAAATGTTTTCCTACTTCAGCCCGCGTGCCTACCTAGTGTCAACCACCTACATCACGGCCCATTAACCTGTCGGATTAAACACCTTTATCTCCATCCAGTAGTTAAGACAGTACAGAGCCCGGCTAGTATAATCACCTACAGTACCATCATCATCCTTCCACTATAATGCCAAAAATAATATCTTAACTTAATCTCTTCCACAGATACTAAACAAAATGGCCACATCCTTCCTGCCCAGTCTCAAGACACCAGTTCACTTTCACCACTGGTATGATGCCACCCGTGAGCTAACGCTGGGCACATATTTCTATATTCCCCGTGACAAACCCTACAGCTCATGTGTTTTGTTTTGTATGGGAACAAAGGTCAAGGGAATAACATTCATCGTGGTACAGTATTACGTCACACTGCAGTTGTAACCCTATGAGATAAGAACTACTCGTCAGTGTACGCGAAGTTAAAGCTGCACTTCCTAGCTGTGATCGTGGCGCATTCCTCTGCATCAACACCTACACGTAGCATTATATTTGACTATTGTATTAGATTATGATAGTTTACGTTATTATGGACAAATTTACCAACATATACCAGGGAACTTATGTATTATGAATGTGCCGAGTGTGAGTTAACTTTTATTTACTCAAGTTTTCTATCTAAGTTAACATGATCAGGCTATTTTTAATGCCACTACCCAGACATAATTTATAAGCAACAGTAGCGTTCACCAGAGTCTACACCAGTCTTGATAATTTTGTATATTTTTTTTTACTTAACTTTCAGCTAAAATTTGTATAAGCTGACTTTTAGGCCAGAATGTTGACGTATTTCTAAGTAGACAAAAGTGTGTATGGATTAGTATAATAGAATACCGTATTTACGTCACTTCTTGAACTAATGTGTATATCTCAAACTACAATTGGTATATAATACTTCACCCTCTTGCTAGGACGTGTAAACACTTAGCTCCGTCATGATATATTATGTATACTGTACTTAATTGTTTGTTGAGCTACAGTGAATATACAAGACAGTACATATTACTTCAAGATATAACTTGTATTAGTACGGATACGTCTAATGTGTATACTTTGTTACCTACTGAGCCAAATGTGTATAAAGTACTGAAGTTACCTCTTAAACTATGTATATCTACGTCACTTGAAACTAGTATACTGTATGTATCCCAAGGTCACGTCTAAGTTAACTAGTAAATAGACTAAATCTCTCTAAGCTAACCCGTGCATTTTATCATTAACCTTTCAACTACAGCTTCACCTCATCTAGTGTACACAAACTTAGCGCGTCGTAAGAATCTATCACTACCAATACAGGGACTTATTAAAGCAGTTTCCTCCATTCTTATGTTCTTATTAGTGTTGTTTCTTTACAATACATATCCAACTATTACCTCTACACCTAATTTACATATATCTACTAAAGTCTAACTAAATTAAATATATGTAATCTAATAGCAATTTACTCTTAGCTACCAGATAAAATACGTTAAACATCGCGTATTACAAATATACAAACAACAATGTCTCTAGTGTGTATTACTAAGACTACCAAAACACATCTTCACTATACCTCAAAAGGGCCAAGGAATCCTAATGGTTACCTGGCAGAACTGCATCAAGTGTAAGCTGGAGATTTTCATCCCAAGACCTGTCAACTAAATAAACTTAAGATTAATTACTGCATCCCAAAAGCTGTCAAGTGAATAAGCTGTAGTGTGGACCCCAAAAGCTGTCGAGTACTAAGCTGGCCTCCCTCGACAGCTATCCCCAAGAGCGACTAATATCTGCTAGTGTTCAGTCAAGGTTAATAAATGCACCGTCAATTCCATCTTCCTTTATTGATCATTAAACACAGGATAAATTAACAGTGGTTCCACACACACACACACACATGGAGGACGAGCGGCTCTTTAAACCAATCTGAGTATATCTTATAGTGAACGAACAGGAACTGATAAAAGGTGATAAAAGAAAAAACAACAACATGGAAGTGTTTACAGAAGATAAGAGGAAACAGGACAGAGGAAAAACTCACAAAGATGGTGTAAACGAGAGAGAGAGAGAGAGAGAGAGAGAGAGAGAGAGAGAGAGAGAGAGATTTCTTTAAGTAGCGTATACTACACTGACTGTGTGGGTGACATTAACTAGTGTTTGTAAGTGGCATTAACTGCTGACATATACTAGTAACTGTGGGTGACATTAACTAGTGTTTGTAAGTGGCATTAACTGTTGACATACTAGTGTTTGTAAGTGGCATTAACTGCTGACATATACTAGTGACTGTGTGAGTGACATTAATTGTTGACATATACTAGTGACTGTGTGAGTGACATTAACTAGTGTTTGTAAGTGGCATTAACTGCTGACATATACGAGTGACTGTGGGTGACATTAACTAGTGTTTGTAAGTGGCATTAACTGTTGACATACTAGTGTTTGTAAGTGGCATTAACTGCTGACATATACTAGTGACTGTGGGTGACATTAACTAGTGTTTGTAAGTGGCATTACCTGCTGACATATACTAGTGACTGTGTGAGTGACATTAATTGCTGACATACTAGTGTTTGTAAGTGGCATTACCTGCTGACATATACAAGTGACTGTGGGTGACATTACCTGCTGACATATACTAGTGACTGTGGGTGGCATTAACTGTTGACTGTTTGTGAGTGGCATTAACTGCCGACATATACTAGTGACTGTTTGAGTGGCATTAACTGTTGACTGTTTGTGAGTGGCATTAACTGTTGACATATACCAGTGATTGTTTGAGTGGCATTAACTGTTGACTGCTTGTGGCGGCATTAACTGCTGATATATAATGAAGAATTGCTTGAGGCATTAACTGTTGACTTGTTTGTGAGTGGCATTAACTGTTGACATATACTAGTGACTGTTTGAGTGGAATTAACTGTTGACTGTTTGTGAGTGGCATTAACTGTTGACATATACTAGTGACTGTTTGAGTGTCATTAACTGTTGACATATACTAGTGACTGTGTGAGTGACATTAACTGTTGACATATACTAGTGACTGTTTGAGTGTCATTAACTGTTGACATATACTAGTGACTGAGTGGCATTAACGGCTGACATATACTAGTGACTGTGTGAGTGACATTAACTGCTGACATATACTAGTGACTGTGTGGCATTAACGGCTGACATATACTAGTGACTGTGTGAGTGACATTACCTGCTGACATATACTAGTGACTGTGTGAGTGACATTAACTGCTGACATATACTAGTGACTGTGTGAGCGACATTAACTGCTGACATATACTAGTGACTGTGTGGCATTAACGGCTGACATATACTAGTGACTGTGTGAGTGACATTACCTGCTGACATATACTAGTGACTGTGTGAGTGACATTACCTGCTGACATATACTAGTGACTGTGTGAGTGACATTAACTGCTGACATATACTAGTGACTGTGTGAGTGACATTACCTGCTGACATATACTAGTGACTGTGTGAGTGACATTAACTGCTGACATATACTAGTGACTGTGTGAGCGACATTAACTGCTGACATATACTAGTGACTGTGTGGCATTAACGGCTGACATATACTAGTGACTGTGTGAGTGACATTACCTGCTGACATATACTAGTGACTGTGTGAGTGACATTACCTGCTGACATATACTAGTGACTGTGTGAGTGACATTAACGGCTGACATATACTGGTATTTTGTGTGAGTGACGTACCTGCTGACATATACTAGTGACTGTGTGAGTGACATTACCTGCTGACATATACTGAGTGACTGTGTGAGTGACATTACCTGCTGACATATACTAGTGACTGTGTGAGTGACATTACCTGCTGACATATACTGGTGACTGTGTGAGTGACATTACCTAACTGGCATATACTAGTGACTGTGTGAGTGACATTACCTGCTGACATATACTAGTGACTGTGAGTGGCATTAACTGTATACTGTTGACTGTGTGAGTGACATTACCTGCTGACATATACTGATGACTGTGTGAGTGGCATTAACTGCTGACATATACTAGTGACTGTGTGAGTGACATATACTAGTGACTGAGTGGCATTAACTGCTGACATATACTAGTGACTGAGTGGCATTAACTGCTGACATATACTAGTGACTGTGTGAGTGACATTAACTGTTGACATATATTAGTGACTGAGTGGCATTAACTGCTGACATATTAGTGTTTGTAAGTGGCATTAACTGCTGACATATACTAGTGACTGTGTGAGTGACATTAACTGTTGACATATACTAGTGACTGTGTGAGTGACATTAACTGCTGACATATACTAGTGACTGTGTGAGTGACATTACCTGCTGACATATACTAGTGACTGTGTGAGTGACATTAACATTGACTGTTTGTGAGGTGGCATTAACACTTTGGCCCTCTCACTGTTGACTGTTTGAGTGGCATTAACTGTTGACGTGTGTGAGTGGCATTAACTGCTGACATATACTAGTGACTGTTTGAGTGGCATTAACTGTTGACTGTTTGTGAGTGACATTAACTGCTGACATATACTAGTGACTGTTTGAGTGTCATTAACTGTTGACTGTTTGTGAGTGGCATTAACTGTTGACATATACTAGTGACTGTTTGAGTGGCATTAACTGTTGACTGTTTGTGAGTGGCATTAACTGCTAACATATACCAGTGTGTGTGTGTGTGGCATTTAACACGTCAGAGGAAGAAAAACCAAACTAACAAACACTTTAAGCCATTAACTGAGACTACACGACTGACAGACAAATAGACACTGATGTTACTAAAAGACCACGGAAAGAGAAACAAGACAATGTTAAAAGTACATAAAAGACAAACTAGAGAGGTTAAATTACGTTAAAAATAAATATAGACTTGATAAATTATGTTAAGTGATAAATTAAATAAATCAGGTTTGTTATTGATGTTAAAATGTAAGAAAAATAAAGAATAAAAAACTTGTTAAAATATTGATTGATTGAGAGAAATTTAACATGAGCCAAGAAACATATTTTAAATTGGGATAAATAATTAAAGAAAAAAATCACTAATTGGGAAATATAGTTAATACAAAATGGGGGGGGAATCAATTAAAAACACTAAAATGGGGAAAATGGGGCCACAAGAACCCATTAATGAGACTAAAATCCTGAAAATATGAACGGATAGACATTAGAGAGATGATAAACAAGTCGCAATAGGGAGACAAGAGACAAAATAGGTTATGAGAAGTGGTTAAGAATAAATAGGGGAGGTGTAACCGGTTCATGATAAGACCCTTTAGAGTACGACAAATTGGGGTGAGGGAGAGGAGGGGTAAAATGGAAGACAGGGTAGGGGTAAAATGGGGTAAAGGGGAGGGGGGGTTCTTGATCACTCCCCCTCACTATCAGGGTTTCAGTGAGGGTGTCAGGACCATTTGTAGTGAAGGAATTAATATATTACCAACAATAAGTATATTATTGACTTGACTGATGTTACCCAAGGCGCCCCACACACACACACACACACACACACACACACACACACACACACACACACACACACACACACACATCCCTTATTTCACATGATGATCGAACACCCTAACATTACTTGGGTAGGTTAGGTAAGTTCCAGTTAGGTTAGATTACATTAGATTAGACTAAGTTAGGTTAGGGTATTAAAGTCATCAGGTAAAAATAACAAACCTGGGGTGCCTATTCTTCACATGGTAACTGAGGGTAAGTATAGTGAGGTCTGTAGATCCTGCAGTGTGTGTGGTGGTCGTTGGGTCGATAGTCCAGTACTAATCTACACTACTGCATGGGGGGGAGGGGGGGGGTGAAGAAGAGAGATAGATGGGGAGAAATGAGGAAGAAGGAAGAGGAGAAACTAGAGGATAAATAAATGAGGCGATAACTAAAAGGAAGTCACAGAGAATATGCTGAGAGATGGAGAGAGAGACAGTCGACGAAGAGAAACCTTACCTTAACACGACGTAAGCAGCACCACCACCACTGACACACACCATCATCATCACTCACTGTATAAAACTTCTTGCAACAGATGTATATATTTATTGTACACCTTTAGAACAGTCTCTAGAAGCATTGAGGCATTTCCATTCAAGATCAAGTCACCACACCTTGAGGATACGTCATTACTGAATGGCCTAAATCACTTTGTTTTACTATTTTTTTTTATATTAACATTTCTTACTGACATCGAGGTACAAGTCACCATCAACTGGATATGATAGTCGCCACACCATCACCACTATCGTACCTGTACTATATAAATAAATAAGTTTAGTAGGTATCAAACACATAATTTAAGTACCAAGGTTAAAACACTAACTTGATACAGTAAAAATATAGGTAATTATTAAAGTACTGTACACTATACTAATTATTTATACATCTAACTTCAACACAATATTATAATCCCTAATAACTTATATCTTAACATATTTTTAACATTTCTTAATATATATATCTGTATTAACACTAATGCTTTCCCCAGACTCCAGCCTTTACCAAACACACATCTCGAACAACAATATCGACTCAGTGATGGGGAAGAAAATATTCCTGTACATATATAAGTAAACCCCCATTAGATATATCTCCCCGGCTTTTGTTTAAATATAGTGTGTTGTAACCCGCCAGACTTTTGTTAAACACGCCTCAGTGTTAGTGGCTACTCTTGGTTATGTCTGGACACCTCCCCATACGGCCTCCAGGGTTTGTTTTAAACATATACGTCAGAGTGTGTCTCCTCCCCGTCCGGTTTGTTGATCTATTTGAGCCAGTGGTAACCCTCCTTCCCAGCCTTTGTTAACCTAAGTCACGATCCACAACAAATCCGTTACTTGACGCGAACGCAACACTGGTCGTTCTTGTAACTCATTAACGTATTGTACAGAAAGGTTATTAATACTCAGTAGAGGCAAGTATCATTAAATTACAGCTTGATAAGCCTTATAAAAATCATTACGTCAAAGCAACTCTGAAGATTAAACAAGTACAATTATTAAATAAAATGTGCACATGGTTTTGAGAGTGTCACAGGAAGTGTTGCCAAGAATTCGATCCAAATCCAAACACTGTATTGACCACTGTAACACTATACAACACACTCACACCACCCCAAGACGCTCGGTGTACATACAAGCAAAAGATACCACATGTTAAATTTATTCGTGTAAATATACTAGTAGAGGATGCATCGTATATAAAGAGGCCAACACTTCTGATCTTTAGGCTACACCTACACACTAACCGCCCCTCACCCACCACACTCTCACGCGCCACACACCCCCACCCCCCTCGTACCTACCTACATACCACCCCCCGTGATGGTGTATGGGTACGACGCACTGACTCACTACGCCTGTACACTGTAACTTGGTGGTCTTGCTTGACTCACGGGGCGCCTGCCTGCCTGCCCCGGGGATAATAATAACCCCACCCCAGACTGTATACACACACCCTCCCACCCCTCCATACACATATCGACCCATCCACCGTCCCCCCCATATATAGGGGAGTCCAAACCACTCCCCCCAACCAACCGACAGAGATGCCGACGCCCAAGGGGGAAGGAGTTCAATGGACGATGCACCTACTTCACCAGACCGTGGCAACACTGCACCAGGGTCGTGGACTACCACACACACTCACGTCCTCCCCAAGAGTTTATGTCGTTCATCTTTTAGTTTATGTCAAAGGTAATGTTTATTCTTCACCTCTCCAACACGTTCTGAGTAACCGATTAAAACACATTCATGGTTTAGTTGTATTTAATT